AGCCCGCAGTGTGCCCAGGGAGAACTTCACTCGAAGCTTCCTGGTGCATTTCAGCAGACTTGACTTTAGCTGTGAACCCGCTGGAGCGGAGGTGGCCACCGTGCCACGACTGAGAACGCCATCTCCACTCGGCCCTCAGGGATGGCACAGTACCACCACCTCGTTAGACATCCTGAGGCTTGTCAGTTGGGCGAGTGGGCAGAAGGATGCAATCCAAAGCTTCCAGTGCAATGGCTCCACTTACGCTGGACTTGGCCTAGCCCCAGTCTCCTGGAATGAGTTACAGCGAAGGCTTAAATAAAAACTGCTGAGTGGAATGGTTTTCGGGGGCATCCAGGAAGGTCAGAACTCTCTGGGAGCAGAGACACGGACTCTGCTGGATCACTGTGTTTATTGGGTTTTCACAAATTTGGGGTGCAGAAAGAGGAGGGCACATCAGAGGCAAAAAGCCTGTGAAAGTGACCAGGGCCCTGAGAAAGGCAGTACATTTTGCTAACTAAGGGACTGTTTGGTGTCTGAGGTTGGCAACTGTATTGCTCTGGAATAGGGGGTGTCAGCAGCCCATGTCTTCTGCTGCCTCAGCTGTGGTGTCATCTTGACCTGAGCACAGGGAGTATGAGTTTTTCCCGTAGTCAGAGGTCCCTTCATGCTCGGCAGTTGCACCCTTACAGGACCTGGCCTTAGATTTCCGCTAGCATCGCCATGTTTACGAGTGACTTTCCATCCCTTGAACTAAGACATGCTAGCACTAAGACATGGCTCCAGTGCGTTGTCACCATTCCAACCAGAAATTGGCACTAAAGCTACCGTATCAGGGTTTTAGCCAATTTCCTTAATGTAGCGCTGACTTCCTTAACCACTTCCTCCTGTCTCTTCTGGCTGTACGGTGGCCCCATGGAGTCCATTTTGTTAACATCAACGAGTTCTTTCACACCCAGTGTGTAAACCAGAGGGGCACGCTCACGGGTCTGCCCATCCTTGGAGATAGCAGTTTGGAATTCACCAACACCAGTAGCAACAAATAGGACAGCACAGTCAGCCTGAGATGTGCCTGTAACCATGTTTGTGATAAGTTCTGTGTGTCCCGTGGCATCAGTGGAAGCCACATAACAGTTGCCAGTCTCAGATTTCCACAGGGAGATACCCACGGTGACACCACTCTTATGCTCAGCTTTCCGTTTATCCAAGACGCAGGTGTGCTTGAAGGAACCCTGCCCCGTCCCAGCAGCCTCCTTCTCAGGTTTTCCAGTGGTTCTTTCATTCATGCCACCACATTTGTAGATCAGATGGCTCGTAGTGGTGGACCTGCCCAAATCCATTGGACCTGTCCAATAATGACAATATTGATGTGAGTCCTTTTGTTCCTGTGTTGGCTTTGGTTTGTTCAGTGGTGGTTTGCATGACAGGTGTGCTTTCTTGTGGCAAACCCATTGTAATAAAGCCCTGTCTGCCAGGCGTGGTGACACACATCTGTAATCCCAGCACTCGGGAGGCTAAGGCAGGAGGATCATTGCAAGTTCCAGACCAGCCTGGGCTACAAAGTGATCTCAGGGCCAGCCTGAACTGCATAGTGAGACCCTGCCTCGAAAAGACAAAAAAAAAAAAAAAAGCCTTGTCACTCCATTTTGGCTAGAGAGAAGGTCCCTGCTTAATGCCAATTTCAGACAATCATGAAGCTGAGTATGGTGTGCACACCTGTGATCCCAGCACCCTTGGAGGCTGAGGCAGGAGGATCACAAGTTCAAGCCCAGCCTGGCCAGTTTAGCTACTTAGTGTGACCCTGTCTCAAAATAAAAAGACATAAATAAAAAAGGCTAGAGATGTAGCTCAGAGTGAAGGTCCTGAGTTCACTTCCTAGTACCACCAAGTCAGTCAGTCAGTCAGGTCCGATAGAGATTGGTTCTTATGCCAGAATGTACTTTTCTTTTTGAAGATATTGCCTGGGAAGGGTTGTCATTTAATAAAAAAGTTCATGACATAGAAAAATATGCCTTTGCCCATATGACAGTGATTAGCAAGTAGATTTTTCTTTAAGTGGACATACGCATTTTCACTGGGAAGACTGTATAGTTAGTTACAGGTAAGAAGTAACCTTTAAACTTTGGAATATTAAGAGATAAAATAGTGTCATAGGTGTTACGTGATCAAGCAATGTAATGCTCATATGGTGGAGTTGTGAGGTCATGCTCTTTAGTTAATAAAGCCTTGTATTTAAATCTTTTCCTGTACTTCACTAAAGTATGGTCAGTGGAAAAACCCTTAGTTTGTAAAATTGGCTATTACAAAGTAAATCTTAAATTTCTGTTTTTACCTTTTTCTTACAAAGTTAAGTTACTCCGCTCACCGTAAGTACACATCATTTAATGTAACAGTAATAAACTGTTTAGGGGGAGCGTTTCCGGCTTCTTGCAAGGTGAACGGGAGAATCTAGGGTAGGAATCTGAAGCTCCAGAGGCTGACTCTCCTCGTAAGTGCGTTGCAGTCGTTCGTGTACACCTTTATTGCCTGGCATTTGCTTAAGGACTGTTTGTCCACAGCGCTGGAGCGCAGTGCTGTGCAGCCTGTGTCCTGCAGAAGGCTTGGACGTCATCGGGGCTGAGCTCCCAGGCCCCTCGCAGGCCAGGGCCAGGACTGGGAAGCAGGCGGTCCCAGCACCCCTCCTGCACATCACACAGGACTTGGCGGTGACTGCTACGAGGGCTCCCAGCTGTGGCCCCCCTTGGGTTGTGGCTGTGTTAGTTGCTGTTTGTGTTTGTTCTCTGGCTTTTTGTTTGATTTGCGGCGTTTGAATGCAGTGTTTTTACAAGTTTTCCCAGCATTTATACAGTGTCATGTATTCGTTACTGCAAATTCCATAAGGATTGTGGCAAAATATAAATAATTAAGCATCGCCAAATCTGCCAGTCCTTTACAGGCCTCATGGCTTACACGCTAACAGTAAGCATAAACTAAAGGTCAGAGGAAAAGGAGGTACCCTTGCTTAACCCACTGTGTGCTTGCTGCTTGCTTGGTCCCTTTGTGTTGGCACTGGCGGTGACCATAGTGGTGAATGGCAAGGGCTGGGGTTCTGATTCCTGTCTTCATTTTTCTGTGTGCTGGAGACTGAACCCCACGCTCGCACTGGACAGGCAGGCGCTCACACTGAGCCACCTCCCAGCCCTTAACAGGTTTTCCTTTTGAGATGGGGTCTCATAACATCCTCACGCCTGTACCACCACGCCCAACAGGCTCCTGTCTTTTTCATTTCAAAGCCTAGACTCTTATTGTTCTCCACACTGCCTGTGAAAGACATGGTGTAAAAAATAAAAGGAATAAACTGTTTCAAATGATTCGGGATTAGTGAGGTCAGCTGTTACATCTCCCAGAAGACATCAGTTTCTTCCTCAAAAAATATTCCTCTTATTTTCAGGAAGACTTGAGAAAAATTTCCTTTATTTTGGCACTGGGGATTGATTCCACTGAGCTACAGCCCCAGCCCTTCTTTTGTGTTTTATTTTGAGACAGATTCCCACTAAATCACTAAGTTGCCCAGTCTGAGCTTGAACTTTGATCCTCCTGCCTCAGCCTTCCTGAGTGCTGAGATCAGAGGACCGTGCCCTGTCTCCCAGCTGTGGTTCTCATTTCAAGTCATATTCTTCCTGATGGTGCCAAGATTTCAGAGCTTCAACTTTTACTTAACTTGCGGATTCTTGAAACTTTCCCAACTTTACATTTGTTGTGGCGCATCCATTGTTGTATATAATAAAATTATCCCAAAAATATCTGCGTAAGCCCGCATGGTAGGCATTGTGCTAGGCCTTTGGCCTGAATCTTAGAATCCAGACACATACATCTTAAGATGCGTCATTTATCACCAAAGTATCACCAGCACTGTGAACACTGTTCTCGGCCTTGTTAGTTTCTTGGTTTCAGAGCAGAACCTCCGGGCCACCACCCGGAGATGTGTGTCTCCTGCCCCTCCGGAGAGGCCGTGGCCCTTACTTCTCTCTGCATGACAGAAAGCAACAGGAAGCTGTTACAGGTCACAACCTTCCATGGCTCTCGTGGTGTCTGTCCTTCCATGTCTGAGTCGGATAGGCCAAGGGCGTGTGTGTGGCTCACGCTTGCACTCCCAGCCCCGTGCTTACGCTTCTTCCAGTGTGCGCCGCCACGCTGGCCTCCTGCACTGCTGCGTGGTATCCTGCTCTTCGCAGCATCTGTGTCTCAGCGTAGCGGGGGCATCGGGAGCCTCCACTCCCTGTTCGTCCTTGGCACGCTCTCCGCTGCAGCTGTTAGCTGCTCCTCGGTGGTGACAGCCCGACAGCTTCATCACGGTGTGCAGCACCTCATGTGCTCTACCCAACCTGTCTTTTTCCTACGAGAAATCGTCTATCTTTGTATTGTCGTAGTCCGGCACAGCAACTGACAAATGATAGATATCTCGTACATATTTGAATGCATAAGTGAATAGCGTGGATTTTTATGTCAACCGTTTTTTAAACTTTAAAATGCAAATTTTAAGAATTTATTATAAAATAAAGACCTATTTTTTTTCTTTGGAAAGACATAGGTAGATCTTACTCTTAAAATCATGAAAAGTTTGCAGGAGCTGCCTTTGTGTGATTTATATCCAGTGGCCTTGGTGAGCTTCTTTTTTTCCAAGCTTTACTGGTCCTCTGGCTCTCAAGATACAGACCTTGAGAATCAGGCCATAGAAAGGACTGTAGGTGGATAAAGATTAGGGTTCCCTGCTGGCTTGTAATCATCAGAATCGGGTGCTTATTTGTTTGGATGAAACGATGCGTGTATTGTATGCATCAAAAGTGCAGCGTACGTGACAGTTGGGAGTGTTGAATTCCCCAGTGGGATGTCGTGGAGTGTGTTTATAAACTCTCACTAAGCAGGCATTCTACAATGGGATTTCACTGGCATTGAGATAATAATTTGCACAGTCAGATTACCTCCCTTACAAAAACCCAGGCAATCGTGTGGGCTAATCCTTTATTAATGTCAACCCGTAGGCTGCAAGAAAGCGTAAGATTGCCATTCGTAAAGCCCAGGGGAAGAATGTGGAGGCCATTCGGGAGCTGAATGAGTATCTGGAGCAGTGAGTGTTTACACGGAGATTGTGTTTTGTCATTCTAATACAGCTTTTTAATTAAAATGGAATTTGCATTTCATTTTCCTGTTTGTCTTCATGCTGTTCACTTACGGAATCCTGCACACTTACTTTGCTTTCCTTCCGCCTGCCAGGTTTGTTGGTGACCAAGAAGCCTGGCATGAACTTGCAGAGCTCTATATCAACGAGCACGAGTAAGTTGTTAGACACGCAGGGAACTGCGCAGAGCGCAGTTGCTTCAGTAGAAAATGAGAAAACAGAGTGGCTTCCAGAGTGTCAAGAAGGGCGCCTCGCCTGTCCTTTTAAATGAGGACCGGAATAGAGCAACAAGTGAAAGAAATCAATAATTTGCCAGTTGCAGTATGTGAATGGCGTTAGCTCGGTCATTTGGGCTTTGCTAAATGGTTTTCCTTTGGGAGAAAAGTTTTTCTTTAAATACAGGTGGCATTCTTTAGAATTTGAAAGCCTGTATTTGTTAAGCTAAGGTTATTTTTGATGATTCAAAATAGTGAATTTTTAGAGTTCAGTTGCTCTTGTACACAAAGAGTATTGTACTCCCTGCTGTTTAAAAATTCTGTCAATTGTATGCATTTATTAGCCTTAGTGCTAAGAGAATCGGCCCTTCCAGAGTAAAGGCGTTCTGTTGCCTGGGTTAAAAACCAAGAATAATCAAGAATGTTGAATGCTCTAGGAACTTGCTTATTGGATGTTTAATGTTTTTGTTGGCCTCTTATTGCGGTAGTGGCAGGAGGAAATCCCAGTGTGAGAGGATTAGTGCAGTCTTAGTGCGCATTTTCTAATATCACAGCATTAGCGCCAGCTCCACCCGGAGGCGCACTGTTTTCTGTTCTCCCTTAGTTCTTGAGTCTGAGTCTGTCACATTGTTTCTTTCCCTCTTTTTGAAAGACTAGAATCAGATTCTCACGCGTGTTTTCTTTTTTTGCATGAATAGTTAACCTTGTTCTCATGCTACAAATAGCGGACACAGGAAATAAAATAGGATAAAGATATTTTTGTGTTGCCCTTGATCAAGTCTGTGTGTGCGTGTGTGTGTGTAACATGAAATAAAAAACATTGAGGTAGTTACTTCTACAGTTTTAATAAAGGTGGAAGCAAGATAAAAGTAAGTACTAGGTGTCATACAGTGAAATATGTGCTATATTCTGGGAACCATTCCTCTATTCTCTGCCATCTTGGGGCTGTCAGAGTCTGGTCAGGAAGCTGTGTGCTGTGTTTCGTGTGAATGTGTGCCTGCTTGTACATACATACGAGTACACACACTCATTCTCTTACGCGTGTGAGACGGTATATAGTGCTTACATTTAAACAACATGAGACAATTTTCAGAGTGTAATAAAAAAATCAATTTAACTTTTGTTTCTTAAAGTGGCAGTCATTTAAAATTTGTTTTTGAAAATGATGTAACTAAGAGCATTTTAAAACATTTCAAGTAATCAAGGATACTTTTAAGTTAAAGAAATACCCAAAGTAGAAAATTTGAAAAGCCCAGTAGACTGTAAAGACGGAGTCAAAAGTTGTTTGTAATTCCGTCGCCCTCCGTTAACCAGAGTCCTCCTTGCCTGTGTTACCCTGCTTCATGCTCTGGCAGAACCGTGCAGTCCTCAACCCACTTAGCTCTCTAGGAATATGTGTTTTTAGCTTGAATGGGAAATTTTGGCATCATCTTAGTTAAAAGAACACATTTACAAGACACTGCTGGGTAATGAAGTTGGGTATTTATGGTGCAGACACCCTTCCCTTTGAAGTCTAAGTACTAGATAGGTCAGAGCTCTTCAGCCACAGGTGCGGTCGCTTACCCAGTGCCCGCCGCACGTGAAGAACCAGTGCAGAGTTGTGCAGGGTGGAGTGGCAGGACACAGCTGTGATCTGGGGTGCACGTGTGAGAGCCTGCGTGGAGTGAGGTGGGATGCAGAGTCCTTGGCGTCCATGCCCGTGCTACGTTGTGACTGCTGCCCCATGCTCTCTGGCACCGGTGACAACATCACTGGGCCCGACCGCTTTTCAGTGCGATGGGCTGGGTCCAGGCAGTATGTGGAGCAGTTCAGGGTGCAGACTCGGGAGCGCCTAGCCCGAGGTTCAGTTATGGCTATGCCTCAGCAGTCTCTCCATGGAATAGTGGCAATCATTTTCTACTTTTTAGAGTTTGGGTGGGATAGAATGAGTTAACACACTAAGGATACTTCAAAAGGTGTGCGTGACATAAAATGAGACATAAAATCTTCATAAAAGTTAGCTATTAATCATGGCACATGGGTGAGCCTGGAGTGTGTGCACCCGTGAAAGTGAGTGCCTCGGGCAGTAGTGTGAAATAGGGGCCTTTACATTTGGGCAACAAATGCGCAAAAAACTCAGTGGCCTTCCAGGTGGCCAGAGAGCCCTTGCCCCTGTGTCTGCAGCTGTCCTGGAACCTGGGGACACATTCAGGGGAAGTGTAGTCACAGCTGTCTCCAGAGCCCTTTCTACCGGTTCTGTCCGTGGTTTCAGTGGAGTTCTTGTCTCACCACTACGTGTTCAGTGGCACTGGAGGGAAAATCAGAGTTAACTGCAGTTGTTACTCAGAAAAGTTTATTATCCGCTATTGGACAGAAAAGTAACAAGAATTCTTTATAATAGGGTATTTTAGTAAGTACGTGTCTGTGGAGGGTTTTGATGAAGTATGTTCCTTCTTTTTGAACATTTTATTAAGCAGTCAGAGGACTTACAGAAGCTATTCTGTGTATAGTTTTAAAATGTAGTATCTCTTGATTGCTCTTAGACCGCTGTAAGATTTACACACACCTGTTTATTCATTCCACTAAACACCTTGATGTTCCTGGTATGTATGGATTCAGGATAAGATCTTTATTGTAAGCTATTTAAATTGTTTTGGCAATAAAATATCTAATGTCACTAAATTGTTTTTAAATTATTTAAGGCGTATCTGAGATAAAATTTATGACTTTTAAAATTACTCACTGCTCTGGTGGTTTCAGTTACGCAAAAGCAGCCTTCTGCCTGGAGGAGCTCATGATGACAAATCCCCACAACCACCTGTACAGCCAGCAGTACGCAGAGGTGAGTGTGTTCACACGCAGCTCGATCCCCACAGCCACCTGCGCTGCCGGCAGCACGCAGAGGTGAGCGTGTGTTCACACGCAGCTCGATCCCCACAGCCACCTGCGCTGCCGGCAGTACAGAGGTGAGCGTGTGTTCACACGTAGCACAATCCCCAGAGCCACCTGCGCTGCCGGCAGTACGCAGAGGTGAGTGTGTTCACATGCAACACACGTGGGATTTGAGTTTTGCTGCTGTTGGGCATTATGATGACACAGAATATTTTCTTCATGCTAGGCAAGTATATAAGTGTTTGAAATATACGATGAATGTTGACTTGTGGAAATGTTTGAAATTTTTAATATTGTATTGGAAATACTGACTTTTCAGTTAAAAATCCTATTTAAACAGAGAAATGCTTTATATTTTTATGTAGTACTGGAATGCTTTTCTCTTTCCTAACTGTAGGGTAATTATGACACAGTTGTTAACAGTTGCTTCTAAGACAGTGATTTTGCTTTTTAAATCCAAATTCTAAGAAATTCATATTAAAGTTACTATTTTAGTATGTAAGAGTGTGTATATAGTATTATTAAGAATATTGGTACAAAGAGTGTAAAAAGACAATTATTACCATCACTTTTAAAGTACAGCTGTAAAGGATAGTTCAGAGAAGTTTAGATCAGTAAATCTATTAACAGGAAATACATCTTTACAAAGCATTTGCAAGGCAGTTTAATCAGAAATTGTACTGACCTTTTTATTATAGTAGCGTTTTTGTTTGAAAAACTACTCCATGATCTTAATTGTCATACAGTAGAATAGCTTTGTGGGAGAGGTTGTATTTTAATTTTTAGGTGGGTTTCATAACCTTAAGGTGAATTCTTTTCACATCTTGCCTGTGTTCGTAGAATATCTGTTTCTCTTACTTAATGCCTGTGGTATGATGATACATGCTGTATTTCAGAGTAGTAAAATAAACAGATTTCAGCAGTCTGCAACTTCTAACAGGTTAAATATACCCAAGGCGGACTTGAAAACCTCGAACTTTCAAGGAAGTATTTTGCACAGGCATTGAAACTGAACAACAGGAACATGAGAGCTTTGTTTGGGCTTTACATGGTGAGTGGAGGTGCATGCTTAATGTTATTTTACAAAGTCTGTCATTCACAATCCAGTTAGCTGTCCTTTCTAGTCATTCCTTGCTTGTTTTTTAAATTTATTGATGAGCATGTGATTTTAATTAATTATGAGCAGTAGTTGACAAGGCAGCTTTACTGCTGAATGTCAATACGTCCTAGTTGATAGATATTCAGTTGCGAGGTGTCTTATCTGAGTTGAAATCGCCATATAAGAAATTAAATAATAATAAATACGAGTATATTCTATGTTTTTTAAATTGTTATGATGGTATTGGTTCTATGTCCAACTGTATTGTATTTTTTTTACCTGGTTATACTTGTATGAGATATTTTTAAACTATACCAATAAACAGCATTAGAAAATAAATTCCCTGGTATGTCTAATGAAAACACTTCTGGCACAGAAAACAGTCTGAAAACAATTTGTGGAAGTGTTCAGGTTTGTGTGCCGAGTGAAGCGCTCAGAGCAGAGCGTCAGTGAGCGCTGCGGGCAGAGGCGCTGCTGGGCTCCTCGAGCAGTGTCCAGTGCACGGTGCAGACGTGGAAGGTTAGGGGTCGCTCAGTTCTTTGGAACATTGATTTACGGTAGTCCTTCCACAGATTTTTTTAAAGCAAGTACCCTCTTGTTGGAATTCAATGAAAAAGTAGTGATTGAAAAGGAGAATGAGAAGAAAGATGAAAATTTTTAGAAGAGAATAGCAAATATAGTTAGAGGATGGTTCAAAGAAATTAAAGGAATTAAAAATTTATCTGGATTTTTTTTTTTGAGACAGGATCTCACTATGCAGTTCAGAGGCTGGCCTTGAACTCACAGTGATCCTCCTGCCTCAGCCTCCTTAGTGCTGGGATTATAGTCCTTTGCCACCATGCCCAGCATTTACCTCAATTACACTGAAACCATGTACAGTGGAGATACAGTGTAGTTAGCAGTATGTCTCTACCAAGTACAATGTCTTTTTGAAATTTATAATGATAAATTGTTACTAACAAGCATTTGTACATAGCAGTTTCTGTGCCAGGCACTTCGCTGAGCTCTCTTTTTGTTTGGTTAAGTCCTTCAGTCCTCATCATCTGAGTGTTGCTCTTGCTGCTGCCGTTTTTAAGATGGCAGAACTCATATACAGGCACGATTCCTGTACTCTGGGCTCAGGACTCCCGAGGGACGGAGCTGGGATTCTGTTCCAGGTTCTACACTGGAGTCTTTCCTTTAATCACTGCATTTACTGACACATCAAAAGGTGACGTTGAAGACGCAGAGGAGTAAAATGTTGATGTTAGCGTGTGGATACCTCACTGGCAGAGAGGAACAAGGTCAAAGAGCCTGCAGCACGACTAGGCATAAACGGAAGGTTGAACTCTTCTGGGAACAGAGCCTTTTAAGAGTAAGGCTAGAGTTACACCTTTTCCTCCCGAGAAATAGAAGCATGTGTTTAAAAATTACCATGTGATTTTTGAGGGTCTATAGATTTCATGGTTTCAGGTTACAAATTCTTCATTTAAATACTTCTTTAAAAAGGTGAAGGTGCATCAAGTTGTGACAATCAGTTAGAACACAGTTAGTGAAAAGAGAATGAATTAGAAACAAGAATAAAGGAGATATAGCTCAGTGGCGCAAGGGCCTGCCTGGGAAGCTCAAGGTCCTGAGTTCGATTCCTGGTACTTTAAAAAAAAAAAAAAAAGAAGAAGAAGAATAAAGGAGATTGTTGCAAAGACTCTATTAACTTGCTTCTGTCAAGTCAAACCACTCCTGTTGGACTGAATTTTTTTTCATTTGTTAAAGAAATCAAAATTAAGATTCTTTCCATTTCTGTTCAGTAATTCTGACTTTGGAAAGTTAATGTAACAGTAACAAGAAATAACAGTAGTAACACCCTAATGGTGCAGTGCTTTGGGGTTATAAAGTGTATTTCCATGACTTCTTTATTGAAGAGCTAGGGATTTTACCTTTAAGAGATAAGGCAGACACATCATTAAATAGTTTTAAATATTATTTAAAATACTCTTTCTAGTCTTATTTGTATTATACTACATTTTTAAAATGTATTTTTATTTTTAAACACTAATTTCATTCAACTTTAAAAATTGTTGTGTTACAGTTTGTTAAATTCTTTGTTACCAACTCACTGCATCTATAACTTTGACTAGAAAAAAGCATGTTTTTTCTCTTCTCTGTTTCTAGTCTGCAAGTCACATTGCGTCTAATCCAAAAGCAAGCGCAAAAATGAAGAAGGACAACATGAAGTATGCGAGTTGGGCAGCTAATCAGATCAACAGAGCTTACCAGGTCAGTTGGGTGAATTTGCTCCTGTGTGGGTTTACGTATTTCCTAGTAAACTACAGAGCTATTGTCTGTTGTTGGCCTTCTTTGCCTTTGGACCTTGATTATACAGACATGTGCTAATTGTATAAAATTAATTTGCATTTTTAGGAGTTTTTAGTTATGATCTTAATAATACAGGGGAAAGAAACTCTCACCCTGCTAGATGTCCTTTTCAAGTTTGTGTTCTCTCAAATTTAAGAATGAATTTTATGAACAACAGAGGTTAAGAGCAGAATATATATATTGGGGAAAGAAAGTTTCTGACCGAGAGAAAGAGACAGAAGGGGTCCCGTGCGGGTTGCCAAGGACCCTGCTTTTTCTAGGGATTTTTGTACAGCAAAACTGTGAGTTGAGGCGGGTCCAAGGTGGGAAAAATGGGAAATCACAAGGTGGACCTGAGGTGGGACAAAACCATGGTCAACCCATAAGACCATGAGCATAACCGCTCAGGTAATACCAATTAAATGGGATCAAATAGGGAAACAAGTCCCAGAGCAGGGGCTCTTCCTGGAGGAGGTGGGCTAGTGGCTCTTTCTGGCTTTCCCAGAGGGGTCGCTGATCATCAGATGCATTTGGGGTTATTCAGGTCTGTGGTGGGCTCCTTTCAGAGTAGATTAGGCCTGGAGTGTGTGCCTGAGGGGGGGGGGGTTTAAAATAAGTGTGATGGTTGATACATTGTGTCAACTTGAGGAGTCTAGAAGCTTAACTAAGTACCTCAGCAGTTCTACATCCTGGGGTGAAAAGGACATGCCCTTACCACTCTAGGATGTTGTTCATTGTGTCAGCTTGACAAGTTTAGAAGTTTAACTAAGTCATTGGGTGCGGGGGCTGGCTGGGTCCTCACTTTGTAAACGTCCTGAACCTGTGCAAGAGAGGCAGTAAGACGGTGTGAGTGCTATATCTTCCCTGGGGCAGGTAGCCTGCTTACAGTACAAGGGAGGAAAAGAGGCTTGCTCTGCCCTTTTGCTCTTGCTGCTTTTGCTTTCTTCTGCCTCTGTGAACTGTTGCCCCTCAGCCATGCTACCTTGCCTTGGAGCCAGCTGATTGTGGACTCCACAAACTGTGAGCTAAATGAACCTTTCCTTCCTTAATTTTGGGTGTTGGGTATTTTGTCTCAGCAAGGAGAGAAAAGTAAATAAGACAATAAGTCTTGCATAATGCAAAACTAACGCTAATTACACTGTTATTGTTTTTAAGATATTTGTGAAAAACAACTAGCTACTCAAGAAAATGTTTTTCTTGGACAAAGCATGACTTTTAAATACAACTTTAGTTTGTAATATAGTACATACAACAAGAACTGAAGTCATAAATCAACATTTCAGCTAAAAATACAAGGAAAATGCACCCAAGCCAGTAAATAAACATGACCTCTTTGGTGGTCCTTTCCTTTCCCTTTCTCCCTGCCCTCAGGAGTCCTCACCTCCAGCTCACAGTTCCTGGAGCCAGGTGGGGTGGATTCACTTTTGCCTGGCCTGGTTCACTTGCTGCTAGGTCTCTGAGATGGCTGTCAGATGTCTGTAGTTGGTCTGCTTCTCACAGAACTGCAGCCCATGGTGTGAAGGCATCTCAGGTTGGCCCGTAGTCGACAGGCAGCCGGACTGTTGTGCTTTGGTACTGTTCTGAATGTCGGGGCTCTGGCCTTTTTGTGCTGTCTGACCTACGTGTGCCTGTACTTCGAGGGGTACATGCAGTCCCGCAGCGGAAGCTCTGGGTCCGGAGAGTGTGTCTGTTTCACTGTAGGAGGAAAGCACAGTTTGCCAAGTTAGCTGTCCGCTCCCAGCAGCAGATGTGACAGCCCAAACCCTGCCGGTCCGTGTGGGTTCCCGGGGGTCAGCACTCGTTCGTGCGCCCTGGCTCTGTTTGCAGGTCCTGACAGTCTAACACTTCCACGTGTTTTGGCCATTTGAATCTCGGTCTTGGGAAGTCTTTCTCTTACTGGTTCATACGATTTTTGTTTTAGTTATACGTGTAGCAGATGTCTCCTTTCACTCAGAGTTTGACTCCTAGAAGTTTTGAAGGTAAATGTTCAAATATATCAGTCATTTCCTTTCTGGTTTGTGCTTTTTTGTGTTCTGTTTAAGAAATCTTTCAGTACTTCATGGTCAAAAAAAGTAATCTTGCGTTTCTTCAGAATTCCTATTCTTTCACATTCCACACTTAAATTCACTGTCCATCAGAGTTAATTTTCATGCATTGTATGAGGTGGGTCAGCTTCTCTGCCTCGCTGTGGAAGCAAGTTCTGAGTGGTGAAGGTCATGGAGTATAGACTTCTCTTGTCTTGGTTCAGAACTTGGCTCTGGCGATGCAGTATTAGATACATGAAATGATATCTCTGGACCTAGCTTTTCTTCTCTAAGATGGACATAGAAGTATTCTGAGGAGTTCAAACATAACTTCCACTGACTCTCAGTGGTGCATATGTTTCCTTGTGTGTATTAGTGACATCTCCAAGTTCAACGTGTTACCCCACTGTGCCCACTGAAAACAGCAAGCTGTTGGAGAGCTTGTTACCAGCAGGGCGTGGGCCCAGGGCTCCCACTCTCTGGGCAAGCACCCTATCGTGAGCTGCATCCAGCCCTCCTGCTTTACAGACGAGGAATGCAAGCACAGAAAGACTCAGTAACTTTCCCAAGGTGGCCCAGCCGAGTAGTGGCACTGTTTTCAGAAGCAGAAAGGCCAACACTTGAGCTGGTGCCCTGGGGTTCAAAGTCAGCCTCTGTGATGATGTCGGAGTAGAAGCGTCAGAGCATCGTTAGGGTTCCTAACGGCCTCCTCGGTCATTTTCTCCTGTAGGTTATCGATATCCCATCCCTGCTTGTTTCTCTCTTCATTTCAGCCCTAACACTCTCAGTAGTAGTTAAGCCCCACCCCCACCTCTTCAGTGTAGGAAACCTCCTTGATTGAATCCACAGGCAAATGGCCCTTCCTGCTGCGAGAGGCATGGCCCCACCAGGCGTGGGCCCATGTCTCAGTTCTGTAGACTGACACAGAACCAGATGCTGTTCCTGGTACAACGCCCCCCACTGCAGTTTTCTCTCCCCCGTCCCTCCTTCTGCTCCCCTCCTCGCCCCACCCTCAGGGCGGGTCATCCTACCGGTCCTCTTTCCTTGCTGTCCTGCTCCTCTCCTTGCTCCGTCAGGAGCTCTGCGAGCACGCCTCGTGCGCCTCAGGCTCTGAGTGTCACGCAGTCACCGCGGTGGTACCCAGAGACCTCTGTCCGTCTTAACGGGATAGGATGTGCAGGAGTTTTCTTGTTAGTTCCTCACCGAGCCTCGGGTGCCACCCCGGAAGATAACGCACTTCTCGCGGTCCTTTTAGGTTTCAGTATAGCAGCTTCCAGTGCTCCTTACCTGGGAATCTCCTCTTATATAAAATTTAATTTTACCTTGACACCAGTAGCAGAGTTTAAATAAATTCCTTGGGCCTTTGAAACTTTCATATTCTGTGCTTTCTCTGCGGAGGCCCTGTGTATTCTGTGAATCCAAGTCCGTAAGAGTTTTCACCCATTAGCTCTTGCTGACTTACTTGCTCAGAGCTGTCTCCCCCGGTGAGCAGTAGACGGGAGTTCTGTGGAGAGTCGCTGCTGGCCTGGCCCGGCTCATTCCCATTCAGCGCGAGCCGCCCAGTGGCCTCCGTGCACAGCCAGCAGCGTGTCGCCTGGAGAGGCTGTGCCTGCCTGTGTCTCCCGCCCGGGGCTGCCGTGGGCTCGCTTGCCTGCGCTCCGGGTTTCAGAGCGGCGGCAGGCCAACTCCGGTGTGCTTGAGCTGCTGATGGTGTCGCACCTCGCTAAGACGGCACACAGTGAGCCCGACCCGCGGCACCTCGGGCGGGGGGAGGAAGCTGCGGCCCTGGGCTCTTCACGACCCTGTTGCCCAGCTTTCAGTCCCACCCTTTTGCTTAGTTCTGTGGTCCTTTTATCCCCTCGAGTGTGGCCCGGCGCACCTATTTCCAGCGTGCGCTTCATCAGCGTGCGCACCGTCCTTTCACCGCCACGGCCGGGCCCCAGCGCTCCTTCGCACCCAGCCTCACGGCCACACAGCAGGCTGATGCGCTTTCATCGCCCAGAATTAGCCTCGCCTGCACTAGAGCTTCCTGTAATTGAGGTCACAGGTCATGCACTCACTCTTGTGTCTGACTTCTTCGTTCCTTAAGATTTAGCCCTCTGGCGTTCCATTTCACTTATCCTATTACTTTGTCCATATCCCACAAATTGTGTAAAATAAGTTTTAGCCCTTTATACAATAGAGCCCCGTTTCTACAATGGATGAATCGTTGATCTCTGAATTGGATAAGCAATTTTTTGTTTTTTAGTTTTTGTGTTTTTTATGATGAATTTTCTTATTGACTATGAAAAAAGAGTTTACTCAAATATAACTGTAAGAAAAAAATACAAAATTTATGAATAATGTGGAAAAGTATAACTTTCAAAGATTGACATTTTTATTATTAGATAAATCTCTGGGATCTTACTGAGAACTGAGGGACTCAAATCTAGATGTTTAAACCAGAATAAAGTACACAATAAATGTTTGTTATTGTAGTGTGTTTCTAGATATTTAAAAGTGAGGGCAAATAGGGTGTACGAATTGCTTCGCTTTCTTTGCACTTAATGAAAACAGAATATGACTGCTACTTGTGCTTCAGGGAGGTCACTGGTCTAGCGTGTTCAGAAGAGGCGTCCACATTTGATCAATGCTAATGAAAAGTTTAATGTGAACCTACTAATGATAATCTTTCAAATAAATGTTTCTTCGGTGTACTGCTAAACTCGTCTGTGCTGGTGATCCAGATGTTATTTATGATTGCAGAGGTGACTCTGTTACTGTCCTTTTGGGAAACAGAGAGTTAAATCAGGATTTGAGGAAAAATACTATTCCAGCTTAATCATTTAAATTGCCATATAATTCTGGAAGAGACAAAATAATTGCATGTCAGGCACAATTTGAAGTGATAGCTTCATTTTTCCAACTTTCTTTTATTCTGACACAAATAAGTTACTTCATTTATTCTAAATTGCAGTAGTTGTCAGTAGTGTTGACACTATCTTAGGTGATTTTTAAAAGTTTTGCTAATTCTTGATAATAACACTTATGATTATGTTTTAAGTACAAACAGAAATGCTATGTATTAAAATTTAGGTTAGGACTTTAGCTTTACAAAATGTTGAAATTTTCTCTTTGCTGTTTAAAACATTTGTGATAAATGTTACTGTTCAGAGTTCTGTGTTGTATCCCCCCGGGGCATCAGAGTGTGTTGCCGAAGTTGGTCCTCTAAGTGTCTGACCAGACCCTCCCATTTACTTGGGAAGGCAGTGGTAAAAAAAGGCTTTCTGTTCTGTGTAAATCCTTGGAAAGTGAGTTTATTAACTAGATAACAGAAGAAGCATGCCTCACACCCTCAGATTCATTTACCAAGGGAAATAATTCCTGTTAAAAGCAGTGTTTTAAATGTGCTGCTGTGACCGTGTTCTGTAATTGTGACTTACTTTTAACATTTCATTCTTTTAGTGGTGCTGGATGAAAGGCAAAGCAATCTCGGTTTTTACAGGCTTTTCTCTCTCCCTGGCATTTGTTTTAAAAAACCCCTGTATTTGCTCTGTCAAATAAAGCTTCAGCCACAGAAGTTGATGTTGAGGAAGCAGAGAAATTAAAACGTTAAGCTGTAGCTGCGAGGGTCAGAGGCCGGTCACCGGCGCCCGAAGCCAGGCGTCTGTGTTACCTGCGCTGGATCACTTCATCTTTCTGAGCAGGTCAAGAGAAGTTTGCCAAGTTAGTTTCACTGCAGAAGAGAGGAGGCCCTCCATAAATCATGTATTAAGTACCCGAGACTGCGCTGCTGTTTGGAAGAATGATCAGGCACTTAGAATATGTTAATTGGACAATACTGCGTGTTGCTAATACCACATTTTAATTAGTCCAGGTAAAACAGGCAATATGTGTGTAATAAACTTTGCTCCGCTCACACAGAGAATGCTTATTTATCTGGTAATTGTGTGGTGTTAAGTCAGACTGATAAATGGCGGGGTTGTCTGGCGGGTGAGAAACCCATTTTGAAATCAGCAGGGGCCCCGGACGGTGTCGCATGTACAGTAAATCAGATTCCATATGCGGGTGGAATCCACAAACAGATGGTACTTGGCGCCTTATGTTTTGTTTTCTTATAAGTTAGTTTTATAGTGTAAATTGCAACTTAATAAAGTAGAAATGGGTATTCTAAAGCATTTTACATCATTTTAATATGTAGTATAGAGCAAAAACACCATACCATTTAACTAGTAAATGCAAAGTCAAAAATGAGACCTACTTTAAATAATTTTTGAGAATACTTGCAACCTTAAAATGTTTTAAAAAATGTACTTTTACTTATATATTATCTTTGTTTGAAACTCTGAAAAATCTGTTTAGAGGGGGGACAAATAGAAATAAGCCCTATTCCTACATAAATGTATATGTACTAAATTCCATTGTTAACTGAGTACTTTTATTTCATAAATGTTTTGGCATCTGAGATTAGCTTTAGAGTCAGAATATGATGTTATAAGCTACCATATTACTTAAACATTCAGGCTGATGAAGAGTACACAGATATTTTTACACTTCAGCTGAGAGGAAACCTACTGAAGAATGTACTTGACTTTATGCTAGTGCTAAAATACTTAATGTTAACTTTCTTCAGCAGTGTGGAAGTAAGGTTCTGATCTTTAACCTGCCACTGGAACTGAACCTAATTGAGCACTTTTTAAAATTAGTTTGCAGGTCGGAGTAAGAAGGAAACCAAATACTCTCTGAAGGCGGTTGAAGACATGTTGGAAACTTTGCAGATCACCCAGTCTTAGGCGTCACAGACTTCGACATCAGTGTCACAGCTGCGCAGCGGAACTTCCTGACCTGTGACTTATTTACTAAATGCCAAGTGCTATTTATACTCTAATTTCTGTGAAGATGGCGGTTGTAAAGAATGTGTTTATATAAACCTAAAATGCCTTTTACTGCTAAGCAAGAAGTTGGGGGACTCTGAGGAAGATATGAGACCTACGATTGTACACTTGTCTCTTCATAACGCAGAAAATCGTAACTGCTCTCCACCTTGTTCAATAAACCACTGATTTCCTGAACCTGCGCGTAGAGATTTAAGCTTCTTTTCTGTTATAACCGGTACCTTGCTTGTGAGTTCGGTTTTCAGTTTCGCTCTGCCTGAGGGCGGGGCACACGGCCAGGTAACTTGCAGGAACAAATCATTTTGACTTTGCTTAAAGTGTCGGGTGGGTTTTCTGTGCATCGCAGTGGGCCGTTGCAATTGTTTGTATCTGCTGTATTGTGATAAATCTTGCCAAAAATGAGTCATTGTCCAAAGTTCAGTTTGAGAAATTTTTGTTTTGATGTAAAGATGTTCATCTATAAAATACCTTAAGACTAATATGTGCTGTAACACTTAACATCCCCACAAGTTACGTTTGTTGCAATTTAACTGTAAATTACATAAAATGATATTTAAGAATGGGAGTAGTGTGTGAGTTCTGTTTAGTTTTGGAAATAATGAGAAAGTGTAAACTATTTTTAGAAAAAAATTACAATTCTCAAAATCCTTTCACTTCTTAGTTATAAATACAATTTCTTACTCCTTATAATCAACTTAATAAAGTACTTTCTTAATACCTAATAAAATACTTTCAAGGGTATTTTGCATGTTTCGGTAAGCTAGAAAGACTGAAAAACACTTAGCACATCAGTTTTTAAAAAGGTCTTTGTTCACGCAGGACCGGTGTGTACTGTTAACGTCACATGTGAGTCTAACCTTGTTTGTAGCAAGCATGGGCAGCAGCTCCTGCAGGCCCTCCTGGCTGGACCGGCAAGCAGGGCTTGTGAGAAGCGGGCTGCCTGGAGTGTCCGGGAGGAAGCCTGTTGCAGGGTCGCGTGTGGGCTCGGCTCACGCGGGCACGGTTCTCAGCCTTGGTGCAGCGTTCTCGCCGAGCCTGGGCGGTGTTCCTTCCCGCGCCCCGCCGTGAGCACTGAGCCGCTGTGAGCGCCGAGCGGCCGTGGGTGCTGGGTGGGCGTGGCGGCTCCTCCGTGCGTGTCTCCTGCGTGAGGGTTCTCCTTCCCGCCCGGCTGCATCAGCCCGGACCCCATTGTGCGCGCGAAGCCGGCGGCCCGGTGGTCAGCGCTGGCAGCCGTTTCACACTTGGGTTGGCCGCGGGATGCCAGTATTGCACACCGCCCCTGCCTGCCCCGTCTGACCCCCTCACAGCTTCCTGAGATCTGCACTTAGCAGCGGTGCTTGTGTTTCTGGCTAACGGAGTGCCTCGTCTGGTCCTCCGCCTTGTTTTCGCTTTAGTTTTCTGATAAATGGAATTTTACATAACTTCTTTCAGATCTTGTACTTGCTGGTACATTGCTCATAGTAATAATTATAAAAATCAGCTTCTGTAGAGAACCCCATTGCAGCAGAGAATGCCTGCATGACTGCTGTTAGCTGCTGCTTCTTTCGAAATAGTACCCTAACTTCGTTCAGAGAGTGGGCAGATCCCCTTTCCTCAGAGAGACCAGAATGTTGCTCCATCTTGAACTGACGTGGACAGAACTGCCTCAGGTCAGTCTTGAGTGGAGAGCACAGCTTTGCAGCGGGGGAAGCTGTGTGCGCGGCCCGTGGCGGCTGCCGTCCCCGTCAGCCACACAGCACTGAGATGCTCTTGCGCTCCTGGTGCACCTGGCAGTTGCATTCTTGCGTTTTCAGTTCCGGCGGCTGTGGATGTATGTGTCTGTGCTGTGGACTCCATCGGCCTGAGCTGTGGAACCTGCCGAGCTCAGCAGTGATCTGACGCCTGCCAGGAGACACAGCCTTTGTGTCACAGCTGAAGCCTGGCTAGATGGCTGCTTCACTGCGTTTTCCGTGCTTTGCCAGCACGATACCGACGGGTACTGCCACCCTTTCACAAGCCAGGAAGCCGCAGGTGTGTGATGAGAGTAGCGTTTCGGAGGCGGAACCGCATGTGAGGTTGAGTGGGGCTGTTGGGTGTGCTCTGCTTAGATGCCCCAAGGAAGGCCAGGGTCAGAGCTGTCAGAGCTGCTCTTCAGCACCGCACTTGTTCCAGTTTCAACCGTGCATTTCTCTCACTGATGTATCCGCCACTCGCATTTCTTTTAAGTAGGTAGAACTTCCAGATCAGGAATGCTCTTCCAGAATATAGTCGTCTGAGGCAAATGTACAGTTACAGCGGAAGAAGGAGTATTGCAGTTCATCCTCTAGCATTCTGAGCCCACAGAGGTGAAAAAGCCCTGTTGACATAGCTTTCGTCTTAATGTAGTGTTTGGATTTAGGGGCAGCGGAAGAAATGGAAAAAGAGAAACAGACCAGTGTCTCGTGGTGCTGAAGGTGTGTGCCTCGACCTTGATTGGCAAATGTTTGAGAGAACCCTTGGAGACGGCAGCCCCTCCACCCCTGCAGTGCCTCAGAGTTGGCGAGGTGGCTCTGGAGCAGCCAGGTGTCGCCCTGTGGAAAGGGCTGAGGCCTGGGTGGGACCCAGCAGCCTGGGACAGCGGGGGTGGACTAGAGGCCCTGATGCTAGGCCTTGAGATGCGTTTGCCCCTCTACTTCTTGGGGTGACAGTGAATGGAAGCTGGGTGCACCCGAGGGTCATCGTTTGCTAGGAGACAGGGATTAGAATGTGCTGACTGGAAAACAGGCTTTGAATAGTAGTAACAAATTTAATTTGAAGTGAATTTAAGGTAGCTCCTTAAAATGTTAACGTGTTAAAAGTCAGTAGGAGAACTCCCAGAGTAGCTGGGACCGCTTTCCGCCTCTTTGACCTGCAGACATCAGCGTGCTGTCTCCCTCCTGGACAGGAGGCCTCTTGTTGGGGCCTGCTTCTGCGGAGAGGTCGTGTTCACGCCTTCCTTCCGCAAACATGCTTTCATTCCATATAGAACAAAGCCTTCCTTTTTATTTAGTATGATTGTGATTACGATGGTGATTATTATCATTATTACTCTTATTAGCATTCTGAGGATTGAACCCAGGGCCTTTACTCTGAACTATATCCTCAGCCCCACTCCTTTAACTTCATTTTGAGACAGCATCTTGCTAAGTTGTTGACTTTCCCTGGCTGGGCTCAGTGATCATCCTGCCTCAGCCTCCTGTCATCCTAGGATTACAGGCATGCACCACTACATTCAGGTTGAACAAAGCCTTTTTTTTTGACTCCTTCTGACCCTTGTGCCATACACTGCTTTTTTCCCTATAATTTTTTCATGTTTAATCTTGAAATACTTTTTAAGATTTACAAGAATTTGCAAAAATAGATTACATAAATTCTTCTTGTTATATAGCTTCTCCCTGTTATGTCTAAACACAGTACTTTGTCAGGCCAGGAAATGGATACTGCCACCGTACTGTTGGCTCAGATACCGTCCGTCCTGGGACCTTACAGTTTCGGCACGCTTTTCCCATCTGTGAAATGTTCGAGTGGAGTCCTGTTACTGTCAGCACGGTCAGGACGCAGGTTTCACGTCACTGCGGATGAGCTCCCTCGTCCTACGTCTTCGTCACGCCCTCATCGAGTCCTAATGTGTAGCACTCACCGACCTACATGGCCGTAATTTGTAGCTCTAGTAACGCTATGTAAATGTGATTACACAATTTGTAAGCCTTTGAGACTTTTTCAGTCATTGTCCTGTACATCCTGGATGCTATTGTGTTAGCACTGTGTTCCTTTTTATTGCTAATAGATATTCTGTTTTATGAATGTGCTATAACTTGTTGAACTCTTCACATTGGAGTGTTTTCCAGGTTTTGTCTGTTGCAAATAAAGCCCCTTACACTTAGTGAGTCTTGTATGGGTATGAGGGTTTTATTTTTCTAGAATAAATGCCTGAAATGTGATTGCTGGATTGTGTGGTAAACGCATGAGTAACTTCACTGTAAACTGCCAGACATTTAAAGAATATATAGATGACAGCAGGTTTACATGATCTCTTCCTGAAAATCCAGGAGAGGGGAACGCTTCCCAACCCATTAGATGAAGCTAGCACTACCCTGGTACCAAAATAAGAAACCCAGAAAAGAGAACTAGAGACCAGTGCTTTCATGAACACAGACACAAAATATTAGCGATGCGTGAAAAGGGTGCTGTACCACACCACGTCGGGTCTGTTACAGAGATCCATGTCTCAACGTTTGAAAATCAGTGCATCCTATCTTTGGAAGAAATGTGGAAGATATAAATCAAAAGAGGTATTTGACAAAATTCAGTACCCACTTAGAATTAAAATAAAAAGCTTCATTAACTTCTGAACTTGATGAGTACCATCTACACAACTCAGTGGTGACAGACTGTATTCGAAGCTTGGGAACAGGAGGGGCGTGTACTCACCGCTGTTCATCATGGTAGCGTAAGAAAAAGAAACCGCATACACATTGCAAAAGAAGTAGAACTGCCCCATCTGTAGAGAACGTGATTGCCTACGTAGAAAGTCCCAAGACGTTTCCCAAGAGCTTACTGAAATTATTAAATGGGTTTAGTAAGATCATAGAATGCAGGGTAAACAAAAATTATATTTGTATCTGCAATATTTTATAATTACTGAAATATGATATTGTGTAAGTTTAACAAAACAGGATCTATTTGCTGAGAACTACACATGCTAATAAAGGAAAAGCAGAGGAACATAGCACTTTTATTGACTAGAAGACTTAATGTGCAGACCATGTCCGTTGCTCCTAAGCTGGTCCACATGAGTGGGAGTTAAAAGCATCAGGGTACAAATCAGGATGGCTTGGCTCTGGTGGTGCAATCTCTCCATGGAGTTCGTGGCATTCTTTGTGTTATGGTGTCTTCTGCTTGCATTTTTTTCCCTTTTCCCTTTAATTTATTTCTGCAGTTCACCTGAGCTTTTGAATGGACTATTTTTCTGTTTATAATTTAAAAGTTTGTGCATGTATAAAATTATTACTATTTTATTTCTCAGAAGTTAGGCTTATTTTCATATTAGTTGCTCATATTTTAAAAGGAAGGTGGTGAAGATGAAGAGAAATCATACCTATTATACATATATGTTCATCTGTGTAACTCCATGCATAAAATACATGTGTATTTGTATTTTGTACACCCCACTGTAATCATAAGAGCGTAGAAATATAAACTTTATATTACAGTGATCCTATCAAGAATAACATCAAGACTTCTTATGGATTCTTAGTATAAACAAACTGATTAATGATTAGATTCAGATGCTCAAAAATGACATTAGAAGCATATTGCAACAAACAGTTTTACTCACAAACGAATAAATCCCAATAGAGTAAATTACATACTTACTCAATATAACTTAAACGTTATAAGAATATACAATTTATTTACATACTTACTACTCAATATAACTTAAATGTTATAAGAATATACAATTTATTTTTAAGTCTCAGTCCCAGGAAAATTCTACCTTAAGCTGCTGCCACCAACAGTAAGCTTGGGAACATTGATCTTTGCAAGTCACTGTTGGGGAAACATCTA